TGGTTTATAATAAAATTTTCATTATTTTTAAAAATTAGGGTGTGAAATGTTGGTGCGTTGTGTTCTCCCCTACATTGTGCGTAAATCCTTGATGCATTGTGTTCTTCCCCTAAAAAAAAAAAAAATGGGTTCGTTAGAAACAATAACCATACTCGATATGCGGATGTTGAATTAATGATGAAATGATATCTTCAAGATCATTTTGAAATGAAATTAATTACTGAAGTCAAATGAGTTGCGATAATTAATTAGACTGTAATTTATAGTAGGAACTAAAAATTTTTCTGATTACAAAATTAATTTATAGTTTAATACTTCATTGTGTACTTTATAGTTTTGTAATACTTCATTTATTACAAAACTACTATAGCGTGTATTTAATAAATTTTAACTATTTAAAGTTTCAAGTTGGCAATGTTAATTACTTAAAATTATGAACTTATTTTACATTACGTAATTGGATTGAGCAAGACATTGTTTTGTTGATTGTATTTAATTATTTATATTAATTGTATGCATGAGTGCTTGTTATAGTTTTTGTAATTTCAAAAAACTTGCTTTCATTTGATAATTTTTTGTAAAATTAATAAAAAATAAAAAAAATTTGGGTGGAACCCCGATTTGACATTTCGACCCTTGACTCTTATTCTTTTCCGGGTCGCTGATCGCGTTGATTTTTAAAACATTGATATTTATAAGTAGAACCTATGTTGATGATAATATAAATGAAAGCACAATATAAACAAACATAGTAACAAACGAAATACACTAAATTCATAAACAACATAAAGAACAAAAATTGAACAATAAACACAATAAACAGCACAAGTTCATTTCGTTAGAAGTTCATAAATTACATTTGCAATTTACGAATAACAAACATTGTTGGAGTATTAATTAACACTTTTTTTGATTGTTCAAATTTCCTAGAATTATCTAAATTTAGTTTTGAGTCAAATGTCAACATTGTTGGAGTATTAATTAACACTTTGGATCGTTCAAATTTCCTAGAATTATCTAAATTTAGTTTTGAGTCAAATGTCTCATAGAATTTCAATGATTAATTGAATAGTTAGTCTTCGTGAAGATGGATCGTGACATAAATTCTTTTGAATTTGTTCATGTCATGTTAGCTTGTATAATTTGGTTTATTTTTGAAAATAATATTTAAAGATTATATATTTCCAAGTTATCTTGGCTTTAAGCATGTTCTTGTTGACGAATACTGACTGATTATGACGCTTACTACTTTTTTTATCTCTTGTATTATGAAATATTTCTTTTCACGGTTTGAAGGGTTTCTTTAGAGTGTTAATTTTGTCATGAAAGCTTGTGAAAATGGTTCCAAGTGTTCCACTCGTAGCTCAAGTGATCAGTTCATGCACCAAAATATAACCGACACAAATTGTCAATAGTAAAAAGTGAAAAAGAAAAAAGAATAGCTAGGTTAACTTTGAGAACGTTGACCTCCAAATACAATTGTTAGCACTTTTAGCCCGACACGTGTCAATACAATTCAAAGTTTGTTTAATTCATCCAGGTATTATTCATTCTTTATCTTGTTATTAAACACGAAATAATCAAACTATTCCTAAACTTAAAGAGCAACACTTGGCTCTATAATATCTCTGGAAAAAATAAAATAAATAGAATAATAAAATAGAAAACCTAACAAGTTTAGCCCTTTATTGGGACAATCATGCTACATATACATTATCTTTCACACAACACTCCATTGAACAATTTGAAAAGAAAACATCGTCCACAATTTTTGGAAAATTAAAGAGATGTCAAAAATTATGTAAGGGAATGAATGTACATTTTGGAGAAATATTTGAGACATGGTACAGAACTCTCGCCGACCTATAAATGATGTAAAACTAAGAAATTTTCCACATGCCTAAACGTGCAAGAAGTTAAAGAAAAGGTTTGATGTTATTGTGATTTGATGTGAAGAAACCATACAATGAAGCCAAAATACTTGCTTTAAACTAACCAATGATGGCACGCTTAGCGCTGCACTGGACAAACAATTTACAATCAAATTCAAATAAGCAAAGAATACAGACTTTTCTGATTCAGTTCAAATGAACCTGCAGACAGTGATAAGTGTAGTTTCTACACTTATTCGAAGTCATAAATGATGATATTTTACTATTCTTTGAATAAAATACTACATAATTTGGGTTATATTTCATTTTGTAGGTAAAACTCAATATTTGATGAAGAATTAGAGTATAGTATTCAAAGATAGCGGAAAAGGGTTCAATTATATCAAATACAAAGTTTGGGNAAAACTCAATATTTGATGAAGAATTAGATTAAAAAATGCAAAGATTGCGGAAAATGGCTCAATTGTATCAAATACAAAGTTCGTGGACTGAAATGCAAATAATCAAAAGTTACGTCGAACCCCACGATAAAGATTTGAGAATGTTAGGCACAATTGGATGAGGAAAGAAGACAGATTGATGAAATATAGTCTTAATACTATCACATATCAACTTCCAGCCGAAAAAGTTAGGGGCCGTTCTCTTCGTGTTTCAGTTTTGTATTTTTTGTTTTGAGTGTCTGTTTTGTAATTGCTAAAAACTCGTTCTCTTTATCATTCTGAAAAATTGTTTCTCAAAATAAAAAATTTGAAAACGCGTTTATTTTGAAATTTTGAAAATATTTTTTTATAATATTTTATT